CCACAACACACACAAAAATGACTGCTGGTTTGCATTCTGCAGCTCAGTAATTAGAGATTGTCGTATGGACTTCCAAGGGCAGTGAGTAGATGATTTTCAGTGGCTCTCAGAGAACCGCATCCAAATTATATGATGCTATTCCTTTATGCTTTTCCAACTTACTTTTTGCACTGTCTTTATTCTCAGACCCAAGGCACCAGTGTCTTTATCTCCTTTGGTTGCTCAAAGCCTCCCACGCTAGCTAGTCTCTAAGATAATCTCTTTGTTAAAGCTCTCATGCTCTAAATCACCCCTTTATGAATTGCCTAGATGAAATCTCCACCCCTTAAATTGGTGGTGAAAAGAAAGAAATCTGAAAAACATAAACATCTGAGCTTGCTTATAAAATAAACTTGTTAAAATCTCTACTAATAGTAATTGATTGGGCTGTGTAGAAGCCATTTTATAAGTTACTTTACAAGATACTAGAGCATGCAATGCTTCTTACAAGTAAAACTGCAGATCAAAGGTGAACAACTAACATATAATTTTGGAAAGATTGCCAGCCGTAGTTTAGAAAATTGCTCTGGGTATATGCTCATTTTGCATATAAAGATATAGATAAAACCATAGCTTCCAGCATCTTGCCCATCCCAAAATATGGTAGTAGCCTGGCAAATATAGACTTTAAGATAAACTGTAAAAGGGATAATACATGTATGTATTCCAGGATGAGATAATACTGGTCAAGTTTCTTATACGAGGAGGGAGATCTTTATTATTCTGAGTCACAATTAATGTAGAGGCTACAGAAATCATTATAAATTAATATTGGCTTAAATAAATTTCCTCTCAGGTAATCACTGAAGCTCACTTCGAAACAACATAGGCACTAGGGCAAAGTAACTACTGAGTACAAAGAGAATGTGACAGATGAGTATAAAGTTCTTTTTAGCATAGCACGCTCCTCATGCAGTCAATAAAAGCAATTTTTTCCAAATGATTTAATGATTAAATTTGTATTTATATGTAATATAATATAAATATGAAGTTGTATTTATACACAACTTTCTGTTTATAATAAGCATCATTCCCAGAAACTGGGAGTAGTGGGGAAGGGCTTTTAATGACGGATGACTTCTGTATTCTAAATATATTTTACAGGTGTATGCAGTTTTATCTTATAGGAAAAAAATCAGATATACTTTTTTTTCCAAATGGTAGAAGAATGAGAATTCTGTACATATATATGCCTATTTGGGGGGATTTTTTATGCCCAAGTGATTTACTTATAATTATGAATATTTACAACTCAACTCCCTTTTGTTACTCAGTTATATATATAAGTAATTTTCTTATGTATGAAATTCCTCTTATATTGAATTATATTCATCATTTTATTTTGTATGTAGTAACTTTTTAAATTATATTAAATTGTATTATTTATGATAGAAGGAAAATCAAACCTGGTACTTATGTGAATGGTAGAAAAGGCCAAAGAGAATGATGGTGGTAAAATGTTAGGGTATCAACCATCAGTTTTTTAAAACTATACCCCTTCCAGAGCAAGCAACAAGCAATAGGTAGGTTGTAAATTCCGTTGTAACTATAGGATTGATGTACTCGGACAGCCTTGTAAAGTCTGTAAAGACTTCTCAATGAAGTGGTAGAAGTTGATGAGAAGTGGTTCCCAATGGTCATTACCATCAATGATGTGCTTGATCTTTATGTTACCACATGGACTTTGGTTTAGAAATTGTACATTATTAAATGTATAGAATAAATGTCATGGGTTGTTTCATTTAGAAAGTAAACGAGATATCAGAATAGAATAGTGCCTGCTAGAGAGAAATTTTTCTTTTACATCATGTTCTCTATAATGGTATAGGAGACTGCTGAAAACTTAGAAAACTTAGGTTTTGTAATTTCTGACAGTATTCAGTGAGGCTGAAAAATACCTTTTATTAAATCAAAAATAGGATTTCACTTCTTTTTCCTCTATAAGAATAGAAAAAAAAAAAAAAACATGTTTACTGAATTGTAAAAGGAAGAACACATTTGGGAAAAGCTGACATTGGTTTCCAGACAGGTAATGACAATGCTTTCAGCTTTGTATTGACGACCAATTTTCTCTTTCCAAGGACATCGAAGACTCCAAACTCTGTGGATCAAATATTGGTAATAACACAACAAAGCACATGCACTTTTGTTTTCTGAAGAAAAAATAAAAATACACTCTTCTACAGATCAACTGTAATCAGTTCTCCATGATTACAAATAATGGATCTAATAGCCACATACCTTTGAAATACAAATTTTGATTAAGCCTTTTTCCTAATTCAGAAGCACAGAAGTGTCATTTAAAATCTATCTCACATGAGCTTCACAGCATACCTCTTTCTATTTAATCTTTTTAAGTAGAAGAAAAAGGGAGCTATGAACAAACCAGCAATGCTGTCTCTCTCGTGCATGCTGTAGAGGCAGGAGCACTGTCGTGTTGGTGTGGTGCTGTTAATTCACAGTGGTGCTGCCTTTCTTCTTTACCACTGCTCCCCTCCCTGGATCCTGCTGCTTCCCTCTGGGCCTCCTCACTAGCCTTCAGGCAACGTTTGGGTGACCCATGAAGAAATGGAAAATCTTGCAGCTCCAACGAAAACGGTTAGTCTTTACAGCCCTGTTGAACGTGAGGAAAGTTATTTTGCTGCTATGTGGATGAAAAACCTATTTTATTTACTATAAATGAAAGTAATGGGGTACATTTACATAGTGATATGCAGCGATAACAGTTTTTATTATGGTTTTATTTTATTTTGTTATGATAACTTGGACATTTTTAAAGGAAACAGTGCTAGATTGTTATAATGTAGTTGATATCATATCTGTAATATGCAAATAACAATAATTTAATAACAATTTTTTATTCATTTTTCAACATTGATAACAAATATCACTTAATATTAGGCACATTCATAGGTAATATATATTACCAAACCCAATTAAACTCGTAATAGAAAAGTTCAGATTGAATACTAGTTTTTAATATAATTATTTAGTTTCTTGTACTTTACCATCTCAGATACAGAGCTTGACCTCTCCACACTCACAAAAAAATATATATTCTGTTCATTTCAAAGCACAGGCTTAAAGAAATTCTTGCAGCTCTGATTGTAATTGTCCACTTTAAAAATATATATAGCCATTTTAAATTTTAAGTTACAAAGTTGGAGATGACATGCATTTTATCCTCAGCAACTTTTTAAAACTTTAATACCCTTTCAGTTTTATCTTGGCTTGAAAAATTGATTATCTAGTTTGTGATAGATAAAAATGTCAATGTTATTTACATTTCTGGTCTAGCTTATTGCGTTCGATTTTGTCTTTTAGTTTTGCTTGTTTGTTGGCTGTTATTGAAATCTATTTGATCACCACAAAACTTTGTTAGAGAGATGCAGCTACTTTTTCCACTTCATCAATTTATTTTCTATAAGATTTCTCACATGTCTGTGTGTGTGTGAGTGTGTATACATAACGACAAACTTCGTATACATTCATATACAGCATGGTATACCATATAGCCTAGGTGTATTGTAGAGTATACACATATAAAATATATTTTATAATACATGAATAATATACACATTTGTGTATTATATATTTGCATGCATATGTTCAGAAATTTTTATTATAATTTAATTACATTTGGAAATTTACACACTTTTTAAGAATTAAAAAAGGTTTGCAATTACCAGACCAAATGTATCATGAAAATCCATATGTCATATGAGTGTGTTTAATTAGAATTAATTAAAAGCTATGTAACTGTCCTAGAACTGCTAAATTGATTACTATAGATCGGAATAAGAATCTGTGTGTTTAGCTGCCTATGTCATAATTAACATTTTCAATAACAATTTTGCTTCTGCTACAAAAATTTTACTGTATTTATTTGAGATTAATTTATGCTTATCTGCTTTATTAATCATTCCCTGCTGCTAACACAGAAAGAATCTGAGGAAGGAAGCTGGGCCCAGGTAGGAAATTCATATGCTTTAAAACAATGAATACCATTAGTATGCTCTGAGGATATAAAGTAAAAAACTGTTGTATGTCATAATATTATAAATCTTCACTTAGCTTAAGATTAGGCTAATATGTATATTTGAACTTATGTTTAATTATCTATCTTTTTAAAACACCATATTTCAAAGAAAAGATGATTATCATTTCATGTCTAGCCTCTTTTTAAAGGAAAATTTCCTTTCTTCTTCAAAAGAATGAACTATAGCTTAAATTTCTCTGAAATCATCCCTGAATGTCTTTAAACAGGAATCATTCAAGTTAAATATAAGGTGGGAAGGATTTACAAAAACGTGATTTGGAATCACTATGCTTTAAAATATAACAGAAAATGTGTGAGGATTGGGGTTGGAGGAACGTTGTCAGCATTGCAACTACAAGTCAGAAGTTACTTCCATTTAGTGAGATAGCAATACAAGATACGCTCTTGTGCTTTGAACAAATATGTATGTTTGCAAGGAAGTTATGCATTTTGAGCATTTCCACATGTTGTATAACTGAAAGAATTATAGTCATGCACTGCATAATGACACTTTGGTTAATGACATACCACATAAATGACATGGTATACCATATAGCCTAGATATGTAACAGGCTATACCATCCAGGTTTGTTTAAGTACACTCTATGATGTTCGCATAACAATGAAATCACCTAAGGACACATTTCTCAAAAAATCCCCATCATTAGGTGGCTAATGACCATAGTATATAGTTAATGTGATTCAAACCTTTAACTATAAGGAAATATTTTGGTAGTTATTACTAGGACCAATATTTAAACATTCAGTAAATTAGGGTTGCATTAGGTTTTGACTTTGGTAAAAATTTCATCATTTTTAAAAACACACACAAAAGAAGCAGGGAACCTAGATTTTCATTACAAATATATAATTATAATTGTGAATGTGTAATTTAATAAGGACAAAACACTCTCAAATTAATAGAGCAATAATCTTTTTTAAAAATTGCTTTAGAAGTGATGGTAGATTCTGCTTTCATTTTCACTGTTAATGAACAGTATTTGGTAAGGTCAGCTCATATCGTTATATTAAAGAATTACATTATCATCCTTGGTTTTTGATTATGCCCTGCTTCCTTAAGTACAGTCCATATTGATTGATTTCTAAAACAGACTGATTCTTTCCTGTGATATTTATGGAATATGACTGCATGCTTCACTAGGTAACAGTAACGTCCATGTAGAGCTTTAGCATTCTGTTTCTCTAGCCTTGTTGCTCTCCTTTCTTTATTCCTTTACTGAGGTTCTTATTTTCACATCAAGATTTGCCATTACGCTGTACCAGTGGTAATAGCATTGAAGAGAAGGAAATGGTGAAGTATTAGTTGACAGATAAAAATAAAATAAATTAAATTAACCTATTTATATAAAGAACCTTTAAGCTCAGCATTCATATATACCATTAATTTTTACATTATATTACATTAATTAGTACATTTTTATTACAAATGTATATTTGTATACCATGTAATTCCATTTGAGAATATAAAGTGAATATAATCGTTTTCTGTAGGCAAGTACCTTGATAACATCTACACAGAGTTCCATTTTGTACCAAAGTAAATCAAATATTATTTCTGCTTTATTTCCATATATGATAGTAATTAAATATCTGTTATAATAATAGACAATATCCTCCAATTACCAACTCATTTTACTGGCTCAGAAACTTGACTGCTATAAAACAATTCTAGTGTCCGGTTTTTCTACAGACCCTGGCATATGGAGATATGAACCACGAGTGGATTGGAAATGAATGGCTTCCCAGCCTGGGGTTACCTCAATACAGAAGTTATTTTATGGAATGCTTGGTAGATGCAAGAATGTTAGATCACCTAACAAAAAAGGATCTCCGTGTCCATTTAAAAATGGTGGATAGTTTCCATCGGTAGGTTTTATACAAAGAGTAATAAAGTAAAACAATAAATAATGTATATCACTAGAACAAAAAGAGATGTTTGAGAAATAGCACATGTGCTATTCAAAACCTCTGTCTATATCTACTTGGCAAAATATTTGCATACAGCAAATTGCAGGGACGATCTAATGTAGAGCTGTGTGCATATTATATGCCCAAAGCTCATAAAACTGTACATTTGTAAAACTCTCATGCAACATAAATGTTTGTTTCTGTAACTTTAGGAAACCCCGTGTTGTGATTTGTATCTGTGTATGTGTTTATATTAGAAAATTATTTGTTAATAATAAAATTAAGTCAGTTTCAACTCTAAATATTATATGGGTATGAATTATGCAATTTAAGGATATAGTAGAAAAAATTTTGAGAAGGAATTCTCTGAAAAACACTTTGCGTTTTGTATCTTTTAGTATATTTGCTTATTTGTACATTAATTTTAAGGGAAAAAATGGGTTGCGAGACGCTGTGAGAACATAGATGAATAAAATGCAACTTCATTGTTCAAATTCTTTACAATCTAAGGGGTAATAAAAGACTTGTAATAACATGTCATAATTATTATATTGTAGCCTGATATTTCTGTAGATTATGTGAAAAATTGTCAGTTGGATTATGATTGTTTCATATATAATTGATTATGATGATAAATTAATAAGATCTAGATGGTTTTGGCTTGGAAACTATTTGGTCACATCCTGCCCAACATTTAATTAGGGACTGAAATAAAAATGGTATGAAAGTCAGATATGATGATGACATAAAAATGAGATAAAAAGATAATAATTAGGGATCTTTAATCAAATTTATAGAGCTATTTTGAATTTTAATACAGTTATTGACACTTGGATTAAATTTAGTGGATAAATATAACAGTTTTTAAAACCATTAAGATGCTAGATGGGCAATCCATGGTTTAAAAACAGTTCAAGTGAAAAAGATATGTGATTTATAGTTGACACAAATCTCTCAGTTTTGGTTAATGGCTTGACAAGGAATATTTAGATTAGGTTTATTGGCAAGCAGAATGATAGCCTTACCATATGGTAAGAAGATGATCAGAAATTGTGTTAATTTATGGATATTAAATTGTTATTAATAAAAAGGTATAAGTCTGGTGTAAGGGCTGAAGAAATTAAAGATTTAGCTTGGTTATGAGAAGACTTCAAATAGGTTTTCTTATGTTGTAATATAATTATGTGAGGGAAAAATAAGTACATGCTCTGTTGAACATGTACTTTTCGAGTTCAAGTAGGTATAGATACTCAGGTGAGTGATTTATGTTCAACAGAAAAAACAACTTTGTATCACTCTCGATTATCCTATAGCATACATATTTTAGGTAGTGAGTTCTCTGTCACTAAACATTTAGGCCCTCACATTTTGTGTGGTTGCATTAAACTTTTGAATACTAGTTTTAATGGCACACTTGTGCTTTTTCCCATTCTTCACTAGGTCTGCTTTTAATCACTTTATTGTCATGGTAGGAATGATTATTTCGAAAATCAAGATTTCTTTTTAAAAAAAAAATAAAAATTATTCAAATGTCAGGGTTCTTGTTTGTTCTGGGAAATACACAAGCTTCATCTTTATGCTATGCTTAGCCCTACTTGAAGAAAGTAGTACCCAATTGCATGCTGCATCTCCTTGTCTTTACAGCCCATTTACCATCTAACAGACATTATTAAAATAATATATATCCTTCTTATAGCATAAATTTTATATTACATGTAAAAACTTGGCAGAAACTCACCAAGAGCCAATGATTTAATCTCAAGCTGCTTAATGTCTATGGTGTTATTATATCAGCATTATATGGTATCCCACTGAATTTGTTTGCTGGGCCTGCCATAGCAAAATACCACAGATTTGGTGGCTTAAACAACAAATATTTATTTTCTCCCAGTTCTGGAATCATGAAATCCAAGATCAAGGTGCCATCAGGATTGGTTTCTTCTTGGTTTGCAGATGGCCGCTTTCCCATGCTATCTTCACATGGTCTTTCTTCTTTGTGTGTGCTTCCCTAGTTTCTATCTGTGTCCAAATTTCCTCTTCTTATGAGGATACCAGTCAGGCAGAATTAAGGCCTACCTAATGGCTTTATTTTAACTTGAATACCTCTTTTAAGACCCTATCTCCAAATACAGTCATGTTCTGAAGTACTACGTGTTAGGATTTAAATACATGAATTTGGGAGAACATAATTCATCCCATAACACCCACTTAATGCAGATTTCTTTTTATTTTCCTCTAATTCTGAAATATTTAAGCTCAACACACTATTAAAGTGTAGGGCTTAGAATTACAACTAACACTCAGAAGTAACCTGTGTATATGGCCAGTGTGTCTCTTTAAAGTTGTGGGTATTTCTAAATGACCAAGAAATCACTAATAATCAATGCTCTTTACTCTTGAAGCCTAGAAATTCTTTTTTCCTATTATACTCTTCGACATCCTTTTTATCTAATATCACCAAGACTTCTTCCTTCTTCTCTTTGAACATCTATTTTATGGATTTTCTTTTTATGCTCGTGGCTGTTGTCTTTGTTGCGACCATTATTTTGGCAACATTGACACTTTAATTGATTTCCTCGTCCCTTAGCATTACCTATTTTTTCCCATCTCCTATTTTGCTACCAGATCATTCTTTCTTAAATTAAAATTTTTTATTGTCTGGGTGGCTCCATAGTGTAGTGGTTAGCACTTCTGCTTTACATGCAGAAGGTCCTGGGTTCGTGCCCCAGGTGGAGCGATGAACCATACTCCCAGTGTGCCAGACCCTGGGTGCGTGCTGCTAGCACATGGGAGGAGACGCCCCACCAGAGATCCAGTTCTTAAGGCGAGACGACAACATCTGTAGGTCAGGGGTGGACGTTGGGGGGTGGGTGGGAATTAAAGAGGGGAAAATGTTCTTGTCTTTCATTCTCCTGTGAAAATTACCCAATAATTCTTTATCACCTGGATGTATTCCACACTTACACTGAATGTAAGGTTTCCTTAATATAACTCCACTCTGTATATGTAATTGTATTCCTCCTGACTTCCTAGCATGAATTTCAACTCAGGACAGCTTGTCTCACTATCACCACACATTTAAGTTTTTATACGCAATCCCCATAATTATTATGCTCCATTTTCTTTAATAACCCTTTCTTTGCACCTGATCATTTAATGATCAGTCAATTTTCTGCTTTTCCACATATCCTTTCTAGAGTTTCAATGTCTGCTGATTTATTTGTTCCTTTCACATGATTCTGTATGACTTAGTGTTGGTGGCTATTCATTTTGGTGTTTGTTTCTCTATGTTATTACTTAACTTATTCACATTTTCATATTATTGTTCTCATCAGCTTTAAAAGAGAATATCGTTTTTTATATATTCTTTCCTGTCTCCATAATAATGGTATTTAAATTCTTTTCAAATTAATAAAATATTCATTTGTTTACAAATAGTATCAAAATAGCATAATGGAAGACAAAGACAAATGGATGAATAACATAATCCATTATTATTTTCAAGACTATAGTTTTCTCATTTTGAAATTTTTTTTTACTCTTTACAAACACTGTGTGCTCAGTTAAAATAATTACAATTTTATTTTCCTCCAATACTAAAGGACTTAGTTACAAATGCAATTTATTAACCTGTTGCCCTAAGAAGTAGTATGTAGTGTTGACTATACTTAAAGAATATTCTTCATCTGCTGAGTAAATTCAATCTGCTTTTTTCTTTTTAAAAAAATAACAGAACAAGTTTACAGTATGGAATTATGTGCTTAAAAAGGTTGAATTATGACAGAAAAGAACTAGAAAGAAGACGAGAAGCAAGCCAACATGAAATAAAAGGTAATATGTCTTCCTTTCATATTGAATGCCTTTTTCTCAAGTTTTTAGCTTTCATTTTTATGAATCTAAAGTGCCGTGTGTGTTACACTGAACATTAAGTAACAAATATTTGACTAGCATAGTGACATCATTATTTCTTTTTCATTACTTTGCTGATTAAAACACAGAAAAGAATTTCATCATTTTATAAAGTAAATATTTCATTTGGGGAATAGTCATGATTTTTTTAATTGAGATTTATTCCTCTGTACCTATTAATTATACATTCTGTTTGTTCTAAACATGCCTCCATGTAGATATTTTTGTCAAACTTTTAATAGAACATTCTCATTATGATTCAGGGAAACATGGTATATAATTTATTTCTGGTAGTTTATCTTTGGCTTATATCATTTGAATTTTATTTCAGTGCCCAGAAATTTTATTTGTGTAATATAGTTATAGAAATTACATAGGGATTTTGTATGAAAGTTACATAGGAATTTTACCCCTATAAATGAGACTAGTCCATTAATAATTTTAGGTAGGAATAATTTTAGAAGAATTACTAACTGCTGAAACTGTAATGTGTACAAAAATGATTGATTTGAATGATAAGAAAAGATACTCTCTACTAGATTTATTGCAAAAGTATTATATTTAATAATTAACTCCCTAAATGTTGAGAAATACCTTACTATACAGAGAAAAGTATTATTTAAAAAGAATAACATAGGCTATCCTTGTTAGTGAACACTTTATTTTTTCTTTTCGTTATTGAAGGAACATTTAATCTTTGAGTATAAGATATAAGCATCTACAGGCCTTTTTTGGTAAAAAATCATCAGTTTGTTTATAAATGTCCATTTATATTTTTTAAAGGGAAAAAAAGGCTCATTGAAGGAAAGGTAACCAAATATTTTTGAGGAAAGTTTTGAGTACAAGCAAAATAAACTATTTAGTAACATGTCCATTTACTGTTTCCCACGAATCAATATGTGGGAAGCATTTCATCAAATTCAATAGGTGTTTGTTTATACATTAATTGTTTAAAGTTAGGCATGAATCTCTTTGTTTTCAGCTTCACTTTCTTTGGGTCTTACTTTGGATATGAAAATAGTATATATTACATGTTACCCTTTCTCCCATATTTAAGCTTAACACTGTTTTGTTCTGTATTTAAGATCATCTATCTTAGACTTCTATAATTTTATTTGTGATAAAAAATGTCATAAATTACTTTAATCTTTGTCAGTTTTTGGACAGTGCATTAGTCTTAGCAGAATGGGCTTGAATGCATGTGGTAATTTGTCAAGAATAGTTTTCTATACATGGTTCATCAAAGAGTAGACATACACTGGCTTTCTTGTAACACTTCATCTGACTCATTACTTAGGTGCAAGAAAGTGTTTTTCCATTATTAATATTGAGTTGTTTAATTTTACTTTATTTAGGGGCCCCAGAAAATTACAAGTTCTTCTCAGTTATTGTTGTTCAGTTAAAGTGAAATCTGGGAGCTAACTAGCCAAAGAAAGACTCCAGAAGGAAGTCTGTGCTTGGTTTAACAAAGAATGTGGATGTTTTAACACACAAAGATTTTACACATGGGATACTACTTTCTATTTTTCTTTCTGAAGTATTTTTTTCAATTAGTTTTTATTATGCTTGGTTTCACCACATGGAATGCTTCATATATAGATATAAAGGAGAGGAATTACCCATTTGGCCCTACATCAAATATAATATTAGTATTTGGCAGTTGCTGGTTAGACGGTAGCCCTGAGAAAAAACTGCTATGATTCACTATGATTAAACACAGACAATTCTATATGATGAGTAGCTGTGAGTGAAATCATAAAAATCTCACAGAGCAGAGAGGGAAAATTATTATTTAGAGGTGCCAAAGCTGCCATGCCCTGAGGAACCAAGATCCTAGAGAAAAAGAAAATAAGTAAATCTGACATTTTACACAACTTTCCTCTCAAGACATTTTCAATCATAAAGTCTGTGATTCAATAAAAAAAAAATTAGACATGTAAAATATTGGGGTAAAATAAGGAAACCAAGAAAAAAATAGGAACATACTCACAGGTGGACCTGAATAATTTTTTTTCAGACATGGACTTTAAAACAATTGTGATTAATATGTTAAGAAAATAAGTGACAAAATGGAAAAAAATATATATATATATACACACACACACACACATACATATATATAGCTAGAATCAATATGTTAAGAAATGATCAAATGAAAATTTGATGAAGCAAAAAGTTTAAAATTGAAATTAAGAACTCAACAGGTAGTTTAACAGTAAAAGAGAAGTTTAGTGAAATAAAAGACATCACTTGAAAATACTTGGCCTGAAACATGAAAACAAAAAAGAGGAATGATATAAAATAGATTATTAGAGTCATATCAGATGTAGCAAGGAGTCTAATATAGATGTAACTGGAATCCGAGTAAGAGAGGTAAGAGAGAATGAGGAAGAAAAAATATTTGCAAAGACACTAGTGGAGATTTAGAGAGAAAAAAATGCAACAACAAATGAATGAAAATGAGCAGCAAATTCAAGATACTCCATGCATGCCAAGCAAGATTTAAAAGAATGGGGGTGAGCAGAGGAAAATATAGACACATTCTAGTAAAGCTGCTGAAAACCATAACCCAAAAAAGGCCAAAAAAAAACCCCCTTACGATCTGCCAGAGCAAACTCTGCAATACTTTCAAAAGAGCAGCATGAGAAATCTGTCTCCATAACTAAAATAATGCCAGAGGAAAATGAAATGACATCCTTAAAATGTTGCTTGAAACCTTCTTACCTAAAAGTTTATAACTGTATGTTCATCAATATTAAAAGCAAAATTATTACATTTTCAAGTCTTTTGGGTAAATACCCAGTAGAGGGATTGCTGGATCATATGGTAGAATAATTCTTAGTTTTTCGAGGAACCTCCATACTGTTTTCCATAGGGGCTGGACCAAATTGCAGTCCCACCATCAGTGTGGGACTTTTTCTCCGTATCCTCTCCAACATTTGTTATTACGTGTCTTGTTGATTATAGCTATTCTAACAGGTGTGAGATATTATCTCCTTGTGGTTTTGATTTGCATTTCCCTAACAGCTAGAAATGTTGAGCATCTTTTCATATATTTGTTGGCTATTTGTATGTTCTCTAGGGAGAAGTGTCTGTTCATGTCCTCGGCCTATTTTTTTATTGGATCGTTTTTTCGTTGTTATTGAGTTGTATGAGTTATTTGTATATTTTGGATATTAGGCCCTTGTCAAAAAGGACAGACAGAGACTATGGACATGGACTATAGACTAGTGGTTACCAGAGGGTAGGAGGTGGGGGAGGAGGGGGAAGTAGATAAGGTAAAGGAGGTCAAATATAGAAATATAAGGGAGTAGGGGGAGGGTGAAGTGGGTAAAGGAGATCAAATATGTGGTAGCTAAAAGAAACTGGACTTTGGGTGAAATATAAGAAAATAGAATATACAGATGTCAAATTATAATGTACACCTGAAAATTTATATAATTGTATTAACCAATGTTACCCCACTAAACTTAATTTTTTTTTAAAGGGAAAAAAATACATTTTCAGACAAAGTCTGAGAGATTACCTTACCAGAAAATCCAAAGACAAAAGAAATATTAGAACAAGTTATTCAGGCAGAAAGAAAATGATCAAACAGAAAATGTTTAAAATACTTACAATATGAGAACAGAAGGACTATATGGGAAAATTTAATAATAATAAAAACAATAATAATAATATCTGTGGGCTTAAAATTTCACATAGAATTAAAATACATAAAAACTATAATGCAAGAAGGGAGTAAATGAAATTAAATTCTTTGAAGGTCTTGCATTATCTAGGAATGATAAACGTACTAATTTGCAGTAGATTATAGCAAGTCAAAGATGCATGTTATAACCTTTAACTGTGACTGCTATAAGAATAATATAAAATGTATAAATAAAAAGCTAATAGAGTGGTAGAATAAAATAATTTTTAAAAAGGCAAGAAAAGATAGAAAAGGAACAAAAGACAGATAAGACAAATAGTAGATTTAAACTCAAATATCTTAGTAATAATATTAAATGGAAATGGACTAACTAATCCAACTAAAAGAAAGATGAAAAAATAAAAATTATTATAGGCTGTTTACAACCATAAATATAGGGACATTGAAAAGTTGGAAATTGAGGAGATAAACACTAAAGCATGCTGCTGTGGTTTTTCTAATATCAGAACATAGACATTAAAGCAAGAAACATAACTAAAAATAAAATGTGTATTTTATAATAATAAAAGTGAATATATGGCAAATTTGTACATATCTAATATAGAGACTTAAAATATGAAGAGATAAAACAAACTAAACATGGAAGTACATATTTTCACAATCAGTGAGAGATACTAAAAATCTCAGAAATTGATGAGACACGTAGATAAAATAAATTAATAAAGATATAGGAGACTTGAAAATGATGATTAAAAACTTGAACTTAATGACATTTTTAAACTATTCCATCCAACACTGAAGCATACATATTCTTTTCAAGGACACATATACTATTTACCACAATTGACTATGACACTGAGACATATTGCAAATTCTAAAATATACAGATTTATTTCTCTATATGAACATATTGAAATTAAACTAAAAGGCAGGGATAAAATATTTGAAAATCTCTAAGTATTTCCTTATTAAACAATACACTTCTAAACAACCCATGAATCAAAGAAGAAATGACAGAGAAATTGGGGAATATTTTGACTGAATGATAATGAAAATGACATATCAAAACTTGTGAGCTACAATTAAAGCTATGATAGCCCCAACTATATTAATTAGAAAAGAGGCTACACATTAATTACCTATGTATTCATCTCAGGAAGTTATAAAAAGAACTAAAATTCAATAAAATGGAAAGAAGGAAATTACAAAAATAAGAACAGAAGTTATTGTAATACAAAACAAACAGAATGGAGCAAATAAATAATACCAAAGCTAGTTCTTTGAAAAAACTAATAAAACTGAGAATCTCCTGCCAAAGTTAAGAAAAAAATAGGAAAAGTACAAATGACCAATATAAAAAATAAAAAGGCAATATAACTACAAATCACTTATATACTAAAATGGTTAGATTGTAGAAAAAAAAATTGTCAAAGTATTTGAAAAATTAGAAATAGACAAATTCCTAGAAAAAACACAAGGTACTTAAGAGAAAAATCTTAATAGTTCTATAACTATTACAAAAATTGAAGCCACAATTTTAAAAACTGTCATAAAGAAATTGTTATGTCCAGATGGCTTCATCATTGAATTCTTCAAAATATTTGAGGAAGAGAATAACACAAATCCTATGCATAGTCTTTCAAAGATTAGAAAAAGAGAAAATACTTCTACCTTCATTTTATGAGACCAGCATAACTGATAGCAATTACTAATAAGGACATTAAAAAAGAATAATTTCAGACAAACAGAATAAAGGAATAGGTAAAGGAATAATACATCATGACAAAGATTGTTCATTTCCAGGAATTTTAGAGTTAATTCCATCAATGTAATTGGCCAAATTAACAGCGTGAAGAAAAATCAAGAATTTCTCAAATTAAGAAAGCTAATTTATTAAAATTCAATTCCTTCAGAAAGAGATTTCCTTAATTAGATAATGAGTAACTACTAAAAACATATAAACATCTGACTTAATGGTATAATATTGAGCACTTTACTACCACTTTTTCAAGATTGAAGTTGAAGTTCTAATCAGTGCAATAAGCAAAGAAAAAAAATTTAGAAAGGATTTATGGAAAATCTAAATGACCTAATGATATGCCATTTGAATTAATATGTTAATTTAGCAAGGTCTGTAGATAAAAATTCAATATAGCTTTAAAAAATGCTCTATCGAGCCATGAAAAGACATGGAGTTACCTTAAATGCATATTACTAACTGAAATAAGCCAATATGAAAAGTCTACATTATGTGATCAGTGGTTACCTGCAGTTGTGGGAGAGGGAAGAATGAATAGACATCCCACGGGATGATTTTTAGGGCAGAGAAACTACTCTATATAATACTATAATGATGAACTCATGTCATACATTTATCAAAATCCAATGAATCCCAATGTTAATTATGGACTTTGTGTTAATGCAGATTCATTGATTGTAACAAATGTTCCAGTATGATTAGGGATTTTTATAGTGGGGAGGCCTTGCATAGAATGGAGCTGGGGGCATAAAGGAACTTTTTACATTTTGTTCAATTTTGCTATGAACTAAAAAATACTCTAAAAAATGTCTACTATAAAATTTCAGTAGAAAAATTAACTATATGTCTAGTATACAAGATATTAACAACAAATATAATAGGAAAATCAAATATTAAATAAAATGAAAGACCTATGAGAGTCCTACATATAAAATTAAAACAAATTATTGAGGGAAATTAAATCAAATCTTAAAATGGATCTATCAATTCAATGAAAACTTAATCAAAAACCCAGTTGGGGAGGGGAGTTGTAAATTAGCTATATTGGATTTCAAAATATGTATTGAGATTCAAAGGCTGAGAATAGCCAAGATAATTGTGAGTAAAAATTAATTAATTAATTTGAGGACTTAGACTACTATATCAATAATTATTGTAAATCTATGGTAAATGAGACATAATGATCTTGGTGGAATAAAATTAATAAAATTTACTTTTTTATTTAAGGAGCATTGACCTTGCCTCCTGATGTACGAACATTAATTCAAATTAATGTAGATTTAAATGTGAAAGTAAAAAATAAAATGAAATGAAACAAAATTAGGCTTCTAAAAGTTACAGAGAAATAGCTTCACATTCTTTTGAAATAGGCAAATATTTCTTACACATGACACAAAAAAGTATTAACCCTAAAGGAAAACTGATAAACTGAAATTTATTAAATTAAGAACTATAGTAACCAAAAGACAAAATTAAGAGAGTGAAAAGAAATTTCAGAGTTGGAAAAGCTATTTGCAATATATCTCTAACAAAGGAATCATATCTAGAATATCTATAGAACTCTAAAAAATAAATAAGGAAAGGATAGACATTTAAAAAATGAGCAAAAGACACTCATAGGAACTTATAAAAGAGGACTTCCAAATGGCCAATAGCTATATACAAAATTGCTTAACAAGTAGATATCAGGGAGTTACAGATCAACACTTTGATGAGAAAACCACATGTTCAGTTTGCTAGGGCTTCTGCAACAAAGTACCAAAAATGAGGAGTATTAAAAACAGAAATTTACTGTCTCACAGTTCTGGAGGTTAGGTTAAAGTGTCAGCAGTGTTGGGTCCTTCTGAGGGTGGTGAGAAAGAATCAGTTCCAAGCCTCTCCCCTACCTTCTGGTGGTTTGCTGGCCGTCTTGCTCTTCCTTGGTTTAAAGAAGTGTCTCCCAGATCTCATCCTTTGTTTTCACATGGTGTCTCCTTGTGTGCATGTCTTATTTCCAAATTTCCTTTTTTAAGAAGGAAACCAGTCATATTGGATTAGGACTCGTTCTAATAATTTCAGTTTAATTTGATTACTTTTATAAAGACCAAATGTCCAAATAAGGGTACATTCTGAGGTACTGAGGATTCAGACTTCAACATATGGATTTTGGGAGGACACAATTCAACCCATAAAGACACAAATTTACTATAATGGCTAAAAACAAGCAAATAAAACAAGTGGAAAAAATATAAAGTATTAGTTAAGGTGCAAATTTTCATACACTGCTGTGGGGGTTTAAATTGTGCAAGTGGAATTTACTTAACATATCTGCTAATGTTAAATCTATTTATAAAACATGGCTTACCAATTCTATTTTTTGTTATTTACTCAACAACAAAATGTGTGTAAATATATATGTGTATATATAAATACAGTTATATATATGAACAAAATACATAGGTAAGATTGTAAGAATCAAAGCAGCACTATCCTTAATAACTCAGAGTGGAATTTACTCAAATGTTCATCAATAGTACAATGGCTAAATGATGACATAATCAAAAAATGGAATACTAAATAGCTATAAAAATAAACAAGCTACTGCTATTTGCCACATCATAAATGAATGCATATTGAGTGAAAGACACAGACACAAAAGTATATATTGTATGGTTTCATTTACAAAAAGCTAAAATAAATCAGATAAAAATAATCTGTGGTGAAAATAGTCATTATATTGGTTATTGTTGCGGTAAGGATAGTGACTGAGAAAGGATCTCTTTGAAGTGGAGGCATCACTTTATTGCTTTAACATTATACACGAGAAAAGCTAACTTGGTTATAAATTAATGCATTAGGACAAATTAGTGATGCTTTCAAAAAACTTAATATATGAATATTCCCCCCCACCAAAAAAATAAATACTATCCTTGTTTTTGAAGATCATTTAAATGACAGAAAATGAACAGTTGAAGTTGAAGAATATTTCCCAAAGTATTCTTTATATTTTTTCTGGAAAAGGTATAAATTTCATTCAGAGAGAAAAAAAATTAACAGAAAAACCTGCTTTTACTGTAATAGTAAATTACAGTAAATTTTTTTTCTAATTTCCCCTTAAGTTCCTTGTTTCTTTTCTATAGAATATTCTGGCCCATACGACTATTTTTTGAGTTATTATGTAGCATTCCGTCAACTCATAATAGGAAGAAATAGGAAAAAATGATAAAATATACTTTGATATGTTTTGGTCTAAAAAAAACATATATGATATTTTTCTCTAATGGTTTTAGTTTTGGAAAATAAAATTCAAAGTGTTTCATACTGCAGAAAAATACTACTTATGAACCTAAAAGGAAAAACAACTTGTGACTTGACTGGGTGCTTGATTTTTGCATTAATATGTGGTTAAAAATAATGAATGGAGAAATTAATAGGGAAGTATCAAACCATTTAGTATTGGTTCTATCTTACTGTTCTGGTCTCCAATTTATTGCTTCAGATGAAAAAAAGTTTCTTCTTGTCTAAATGCAATATTTAAATAGTGTTTAAAAACCACTCTGATGAAGACTTTTATTAGATTCTCATTTTGCTCTTTACTAACTCTGTGTATCAAGACATAAATAAGAAATGTCCCCATCTAGTGGTAAAAACATTTAACTTCAGACAGACCCCTGGAGCTTTAGAATAAAAACAAGAAACACCTTGAGACGTTGAGTTCCGTGTCAGGGAAGTACTCTCACTTCAGTGTAACAAACATTCTTAAAATGACAACTTTTTTCTAGGCTAAAAGTAGAAAAGGTTAGTTATTAGAACATTAAATACATGCAACATAACAGGGCAGGTGTGTAAGGGAGAGGATAAAGAAATCAGCCTAAGTGCTGACCTGGCCAGACACCTATGGCTCATTCCAGCCAGTAGTTTTGTTTATTATGTAAAATACACAGCCTAAAATAATGCACCTCTTTTCCTAGATGTGTTGGTGTGGAGCAATGATCGAGTTATTCGCTGGATCCAAGCAATTGGACTTCGAGAATATGCAAATAATATTCTTGAGAGTGGTGTGCATGGCTCACTTATAGCCCTGGATGAGAACTTTGACTACAGCAGCTTAGCTTTATTACTACAGATTCCAACACAGAACACCCAGGCAAGCCCCTTTGTGCTGTAGTTGCACTGTGTCCTAGTTTATGTAATGATAAACAAAACTTTTAGGGCAAAAAATAGTTGTCTATGTATTCATGATTCCTAATGAGAGTTAGCTCAACCTTTGAAATGTGTCACTAGGGCGTTAATTTCAAGCTACTGGATTTCTAGCCAAAACCAAATCATAAAATTAAGCAGGAAGGGATTTAGAGGTTATGTGGTCCAACCTCCCACCTGAATTCCAGATTCCCCAAAATAGTATCCCTCACAGATGGTCTTCAGTTTCTGCTTCTCTGAGAGGCAATCATTTCTATTTACATGACTGAATTATACGGACACATAGCATTGGGGATGCCACTGATTCCCAAAACTGGATAATTATCTGAATCATCAGAGTTCTTAAAAAATTAAAATAAATACTGCCTCCTATAAAACAGGCCTAAGAAATCAGGTATCAAGAGATAGGGCACAAGAATTTTAATTATCTAAAGTTTTCCCAAATAGTAATCATTGACCACGTTTGAGAACTACCTGCATAGACTTGATCAAAATTTGGCAGTCTAACTTCACTTCTTATTTCGTTTTTATGTATTTCAAAGTTTAAAGCGAGGTCAGTAATTCCACATTCAAATGGACCAGGCAGATGATCTTGGTATTATAAAACCCAAGCTCCCCTTGACCTCAGACATTTGCATGAGGCTATTTCTTTATTGTCCACAGACAAAAGGGAATTTCTCTACCTTGTATTTACAGCTAAAATTTACAATGGCTTGTACAGATAAAGACTAAAAACTTAAGACACAATAAATAAAAAAGGATTTTTAATGCTTTCTCAGTTAAATGTAATCTCAACTTTTTTTTTAATTAAATGTGACCAGTGATGGTAACTGTTATTTGATGTTAACAGGCGAGGCAAATTCTTGAAAGGGAATACAATAACCTCCTGGCTCTGGGAACTGAACGACGACTGGATGAAGTAGGTCCTTTTCTGTCATTCAAAGGAATCTTTACAGAGCACAAGTAAAATGGCTTTCAAGCAATAGTGCTCAAAATTTAATCAGATGCTTGCTCTACTGATAGACTCTAGAATTTTCCCCAGGATTGTTCTTGAATATTAAATTTTATTACTCATTTGATTTTTGAAATAACTTTATGAATTCATAAACATCATATCAGCAGTTGGAAACACTAAAAAGTAATTCAAAACAGACTTTTCATGAACTGTGAATACAGAATGCTGAGCAACATTTTTTTAAATTATAAGCAATAACACTACTCCTGATAAATTCAGCTTTTTAATAAGAAATGTGCTTATTTCTTAAGTATCAGTGTATCTTCACAGGAAATTTTAGGATATTAAAATGAAGATAAAACTTGCTTTTAATAAATGGGAAGCTTTTCATTATTTTAGATATCAATATTGAGTTTTCCTTAAAAATATATGAATAACATTTTAACAGTCATGGGATTTGAAAGCTATAATGAATGTAAGAATTCCTATACCTAATATATGCATGTTTAAAGAATTTGGAAAATTATAAACATGTAAGTAGCCTCCTGAGATTAAAAAAAATGCAGGGACATTAGTAAACTGTGCATTGATAGACACTGTAGACTTCATTTGTCCTTCTGAGTTTTTTTACAGGGTCTTTCTGAAAGAAGTAAGAAGGAAACCTGAGTATGAAGTGGAAAATACAGAGAATCATAATTTTGTGTTGCAAAATGCAGGTGTTTTTTGGCTATAAAGAAAAGCTGATTAAAACAGTTTTGTAAATGAACCCAAGAAATCCTAAAATAAGGCAATAATTCCACATTCGAATGAACAGGGCAGATGATCTCAGTATTATAAAACCCAAGCTGTCCTTTGTGGAGGAGGTTACAGACAGATAAGCTCTACAGTCTTGACCTCAGCTAACTTCCTATAAGGTCATACTCCTGTCCACTCAGGATAATGATTAATATTTTTAAGAGCCAGTTAATATTAAACAGATTTTAATTTTATAACTTGTTTGATAATCTTTTTAATCTTTATTCTTAATTATTGAATCAAAAAGTCAGCATAAATCCATACACACTTTTGAATATTCTCCTTGCTTAAATGTTGCAAAAGGAATTTTAATAAAAATTATTAAAGATCTGTCATATTGCTGCATTCTAAAATGCAGATTGATCTGAAGGAGCTGTCTCGGTAGATACACAAGCCTATGTGAATTATAGTGTTGCTTCCTGTAAGCAAGAAATGAGCAGAAAGGTTTAAATGGGATGTGACTATCTGCCTTTAAAATATGCTGCCGCTGTGTCTTATTATTAAAAACACGGCAAATGATTTTATCATTCAAACCCTCGACTCTCTTCTGTCTAGTTTTTTATTTGTTTTTGTTTTTCGAGTGAGAACAGAAATAGCTAAGCAACTTGTCCAGAACCAGAGTGGACTTCTTTCTGGGGCTGATCCTTTTCAGATTCCACTGAAATAATTTGGGAAGTGCTCATGTGTTTCTATAGACTTTCACTTCATTTAAGAGGATACCTTTTGGCCTCATCTCATGGAAATTTTTTCCCATGATTTTGCTGCTTTATAATTCCCATTACTTTCTGCAGTAACACTATGTCGAAAGAACAGAAGAAATCATGATTTAAATTATTGACTTATCAGCTTATTTTTGAGCCCATAACTCATACCTTCTAGAAGTTGTATATTTCTACAATGTAATGTAGTTTTGTAGAAATAGATAATATTTATGTTTATGCAACAACTTCTCTAAGATTCAAGAAGTTGTAGAGGCCATGATTGTGAAATTCTGCTTCTTTTCCGCATTTATTAACATTTGGAGATCTAGGGCATGTAAAACCCAACAGCTGAGAAGAGGAGTAGCAGACATTTCTTAAACTGCAAGATATCTAGAAAATCTAAACAAAATTTAGCTATTGATGACAAGGACTCTAAAAGAACAGTGGAGAGATGTCATTATACAAATGATTTTATTTTACCCAAATTGACCTTGAATGTTACTTAATTAAGATAATGGTCTATGATGAAGAATGCCCTATAGTGTTATTTGTAGCAATGATAATTTGAGCTGAATATCAGTCTAGTATTCTCTTTGCCAAAATGAAGTTATCTGAGCTAATAGGGTCAACCACACATACTTAACTTTAACTTCAAGGAATAGACAGTCTTCCCTAGATGAGAAACTTAATGATATAAGAAGATAAGATCTATGTGGAATGATTAATATTTTCCTTAGAATTAGATACAAAGAATACTACCAATTAAATGCTAAATTATATATTACTGCTTACCGATTTAGAGAAAATAATTCTATCTATGCAGGTATTTTTTGTATGCACAGAGAGGGAAAAATTATATCATTAATATATAACAGAATCAGCAATTAGAATTATATTTATAAAACAGCAACCAGAGTTACATTGTGCTTTTAGTGGCATCTAAAGAGCACCTGTATTTATTAAAAGGATGATGTCCAGGCTGCATAGGTTTTTAACAAATTACAAGTTAATTATGTATGAGATAAAATCTAACATGTAACAATTTTAGAGTTTCTCATACAGAATGTAGTTTATAGTATACCATATGAGCAGGCTATATCAAATATAGATTTCCCCTATAGCACATATCTCTTGTATACATAAAAGCAAAATTCACAAAATAGTTATTCAAGTGTGCTTCAACACTTATTCCACTAAATATGTCATCTTATACCATAAAACCAGTCTGTATAAAGTGCAACAAATATACCTAATATATACTATTTGGAAAAACTTAGGGGTTTTATTTTAGGTTTTCAAAGATGTTTATTTTTATAGATGACAGATTTGAAATGATAGGAAACCTTTTTTTTATAAAAACACCGGTTTCAAACTTCCTGCATTTTCATTTTGGAATTAATAGAACTCTTAGAATAAAGCATAGTATTCTATATGTATGCTATATAGACTGAATGTAAATAATCAATGTTACATTTTTCTAACTCTGTACTGGCAGAGTGATGACAAGAATTTCAGGCGTGGGTCTACCTGGAGAAGGCAGTTTCCTCCCCGTGAAGTACATGGAATTAGCATGATGCCTGGGTCCTCAGAAACATTACCAGCTGGATTTAGGTTAACCACAACTTCTGGGCAGTCAAGGAAAATGACAACGGATGGTACAGTAGTTTTCCCTTTCTGCTTAAAAAATGAAAAGCTTGTTTAACAAATGCTAGTTATCATTCTCTGCCCTTGCATAGCTTTCTGGAATTGTTTTCTTGAGTTGGTTTGCTCTGCTTGAAGTTTACTTTGCTTTCATCAGATCAGACTGTTTTGTAAACTGCTAATGCATGAATTCATGGCACTTTATTCATTTTTTAAAAATTATTTATAATATCCTAAAAAAGATTTTGGCTAATGTCCACATCTAGGAAGAATAATAAACATCTGCATGATTTGTGTTTCTTTACTCTTCTATTCCTAAAGTAAATAATTTGTTTAGGTAGAGGTTGGACTTGGACTGAGGGTCCTTCATAAATGTAAATTAACTCCACGGTCACCCCACGTGTCTGAATATTGCAAGTTTTATATTTCGCCTTAGACACTCAAGCTCATCAGGTATTCTCACCTCTGACCAAGGCAGAAGGCCTTAAATAAACAAGCACAACCATGAGAAGAGAATTAAACAAACACAAAACCAACAGTAATGTTACAATTAGTATTTCCTTCTGTGGACATTAGACTTGAGTTATATACTTCACAAAAGAAAGTAGCCATTCTGAAGGAGAGACAATTACAAATGGTAGTGACAAAGTTATTTCTGTTTAGTAAGCATTAAAAAAAATAGCCCCACTCTCTTTATTAAAACAATCCCCGAGAGTCATTATTTCTTTTCAAGGTTACAGTTATCGTGGCCCTTAAAATTCATTCTTATATAAACTGTAATATTTAATCTACATTTTTTTCTAACTTGTTAATATTATGGAACATCTTAGTAAAATTCATTAGGAATTTAACACAGCTAAAATTAGTGTAGAAGCTCTTCAATACTCAGAGGGGAAAACATCCACTATATTGAATTCTCTAAGATCAGTCTTCGCTTCCAAAACAGAAGCACCTCGGGGAGCTGCTCTCATTACAGATTCCATCTAAGGGGAAATACACAACGCTAAAGCTCAGTTGAATCGCACTGAAAGAAATTTTCACTAGTAACTTGGTCTAGGGACAAGGAATGTGAGTGGCTTATATCTGAGAGAAAGAAGTTCTACTAATATGTTCAGGATCCCTTTATGCAGGGAAAATAAATCCTTCTCATCTGAAATTGTGTACTCAATCATCAAGTCCCTCTAAAGCCCTTTTCTCCATTTGCAGTTACTTCATCAAGACTGCAGAGGTTAGACAACTCCACTGTTCGCACATACTCATGTTGACAAGCTACTCAAAGGAGGCAGCACTGACTTGCTGTGAGTAGTTTTCCTTGGCTGACAAAAAAGAAACCACCAAAAAAGTGGAACCTACATAGACTAGTGAATATACACAATACTCTTTGGTATGACCTAGCAGTACAGAAGTGAGATAACCCCTTTGAATTGTTAGAGTGTAAAAAGGAACCTTTATATTTTAGCTCTTAATCTAGGATTTCCTGTCATCATCTATCTGCTATGGTTTAAGGTCTGTCTGTTGGAGGCCTGTCACTATCTTGTTACACTCAATGGGTTGCTACCATACCGTCTTCTACTTTTTAATGGCATTTTATATCGGCACACATAGTATTTTATTGATGAGAGTTTGGCACTTACAGAATAATACCCCTTCAAGTGAGTATATAGGGGAAGCCGAAATAGATGCATAGTGATTCTGGTAGGTACACAGAGTCAAATAGTGGCAGAGACAAGAAAATGATTTGGAGATGATTTTGTGTTAAAAATAAAAGCATAATTGAAAATATACAACTTTTAGCATGTTGTCTTTCATCAAGGTGATTTATATTTCTTGAAAACAAGTGTGAATTTTAAGTACGTGGGCTTATAGCATAGGAACAAGGTGAAAGTACTTGTAAGAATGGCTGACAGAACTATCAGAAAACCTTGATACATAATCATAAGGTGTAAGACATTTATATAGAGAGAAATATTAGTTGATGGAATTGACTTCTAAATCCATGCCAAAATGAAGTTTTATTGGCAATGTTAATAAAACTGTGGTTTCCTACATTATAAATGACAAATGCTTGTAAAACATTTCTTAACCTAGAACTATGTTACCAAAATATTCTACCATTTACAGTGAATTAATTTGGAAAAATACTTTTAGAGCAATAATTAGAACCAAATGTGTGCACAGAGGAGAGGAAGCAGTTATAGGCAGAGGAACAGCTCATCTTGTGCTGTTTATTTATTGCCTTGAACTAAACGCTCCACACAATTTATTGTTGGTCTTTGGGGCCTAATATGGGAGCTGGTATGCTGCCTTATTTAGGTCACTATTTGAAGCTGTTGATGATAAAACAAAAAGCTTTCAGATAAGAGATTTAATTTCAGAATATAAAACCCTAACATTAAAATTTTAATTATGGTATACAATTTGGCATCTAATTAGGCATGATCCAAAGTATATTATAATTTGGCTCAATAAGGGGCTTTCCAAAATACTGTTTGTAATAGCTTCTACACATAACATGATAATTTTCCCAGAACTAAATACTTCACTAATTTACAAATGACTATTTAATATGTTGAGTAGTGCTTGCTTCTTAGCTCTAGACTGATGGGTAGAATTACTCTTTTAACTATTTGCAATCTGTATTTTGTGCATGGCATTTGAGTTCCTATTTCCTAGTTTTTACCATTAAATGAGATAAAGGTTTTATTTACAGTGAGTTAATCTAGGACAATCAATTTGTATTTTGATGAAACATCACTTTTGCTATTAATTTAGAACATATTATTTATTTTGTGTTAGGAATAGCAATTGTGAACTTTTCCCGAGTATATTATGACTGGAAAGAATCAATGATGCCACAGCACTGACCATTATTCTTTAAAACATGTTTTATTATCATTATATTTTTGTCACTATCAAACAAAGGTATCTTTTTAAGAGCTCTAAAATATAGGAACTTTTCCATTAAGTAGGTCAACTAAACACAAGGTATTAATGAGCAAACTTAAGTTTTCAAAAGGACTGGTCGCATTTTGTGATTATCTTTTTTTATATTATTGCCATACTTTCCACAAAGTTGAGCAAGTATTATTTAAGCTTACCTGCATGAAATTGAAGAGCAAATGTTCATTACATATAGCTGTTGGTTACTTTCTAGATGATTGATATCCTATTGCTTATCTCAGGACAGAAGTAGGCAGGCTGCATGGAGGTACACCAAGAGTAGAAGAGGGGGATTTTCTGGTCTGGGACCTTTGAGTAAACTAACACTATCCATTAAATATTCTAGATGTCGTCTTTTCAGTCTACCCTACCTAAAGTGCACTACCACCTAAGAAGACGAGCAGTGAATACCTTTGTGAAGACTGATTTCTAAGGAAATAACCACAAGTAATGGTTTATTAAACTGAAAATGTGATTGGGGTGGGGGGGTCAGATATTAAGTTTGATTAGTGTACTATAATTGAAAGAAATGCTTAAGTCATTTGAATAATAAGCATCATCCACATCATAAATTCTGTACAACAGATGCTTTTATGAAATGGAGCCACTTGTTTTTTCATGTTTTATTGTAATATACTAGGCATTTATGTATTACTGTGTATGTATTTCTTTTTAAATGTGTAAGTCTTATGTAAATGGATATAAATATGATTTTTTAAAAAATAAAATATATGGTTCATGGAGTCTTGAGTGCAAACATTTGACAATTCCAAGTACTGTTTGTATTTTACCATTCCACCATTTTTACAGTTTTTGAATTATAACAGTCAAATTGATATGTTTCCTGGAAGCATGTTTCATGCCTCCACATGTTTCACCTTCAAGTCTGTCAATACTTAAAGCTGAAAACCTGCCTCTGATCATGTCAAAAAGAATGATTTAACCTGGTTCTGGAGCCAAAAATAGACCTTTAAAGGCAATCAGGGATGTCCTCTATCTTTAGAAATAGCACTGTGATGGCTCGATCTCCTTTTCAATACAAAACAAAGCCAAACTGTTTACAAGAGTCAAAGCAATTATTTAAAAAAAAATTTATAAAGGAAAAACATTATCTTCTCTTGTTACCTGTGGACCAATAATAATAATTTAAGAAAAAACTTCTTTACTAAGAATCACACATTCATGCAAATATCTTGAACCGCCAGCCAGCACTGTTCAGTGAATGTCAACCACTGCAGAGTCTGAGGCTCATTTCCACTGGAGAAAAACAAAATCCCAGAAACTCTTCCCTTTTGTCAGTGTAACAGGGCAATAGCCGACTCATGTCTAATGTTATAAGCTTTTAGCCGAGATGGCCTTGTTTCGACTTCCCTGAAGTCAATCTTATCAGAGGAAATAAAGGAAAGACAGAATGATTAACATATATAGTGTATAAAGTATAGAAGAGTAATCTCTTCCTTGTGGCTTTATTTGGTGGTGTTACTGTTGTTTATTCTTTGTTTATATGGGAGATTTCAAAGTACAACCTATTTAATATTACCATTTATCTAACTGCTGATTTTCTGCTACTTGATCTTATTAAGTGCAAAACCTGTCATTAGTAATTTCTTTTTTTGTATTTGATTTGCTATGTTTGCACGTACATTACATTTGTTTTGATGTCTATTTTTGTTTAACAGATTCAGTCAAAAGGTAATGGTAACAGAAACCTTCTCCATTGTCAATAAAAAAAAGAATACTTCCAGTTCTCTGTTTAAGCTTTGTTTTCTAGTCACTTAAAGTTTAACAATTTATTTAAACTATAATGAAAATTGTTCTTTTAGTGACTCAATCTAATATTTATCTTCAAAAGTGAGTCTGCCACAAGAGGGAGTACTAAACTTGCTTATAAGAGTGATTTTTAAATTTTCTGAAACTGTTGCCTGAGCAAAAACAATGAGAAAGAGCTTTTTGAGCTCATCTGGACATGGGAATGCTGACTTACAGAAATGAAATATAATATAGAAACTATGATATTATAATAATATAAACTAGATTTATATATACTCTTATACAGGACTTTATCACAGAAACAGTTTTTCCCCTTTAGAGATCACCTAGTAAAGAATGTTAATCACTTATAACAGACTCTAACATATGGATAAAAAAGATCCACCTACTTGCCTCAAAAAAGCATAAAGAACTCTGCAATGTATCAGATACTTTCTGCCAGATTCTAAAATCCATTTAAAACCCATTTCATGACCAACTATGAACATTATGAATTTTTACATTTTTAATGATCCCAGCCTTTACAAATACAATTTCATATAAATAAATTGGCCATCTAAATGTAAAACAGGACTCGTTTGTATGTAGATAGTACATTTTCATGAGCAAAAAATAATGGAAAAACACTACTACATATTTTTAAAGAAAATCTTTATATTTTAGTTTTATCAGTGACTTACAGTAAAAAAATTATAAAAATTTAAAATATCATGGAGATTTATTTCAGCATATTTAAAGATGATTGCATTTTTAATAACATACTGTTATTTTTAAAGATACATTTAATTCAGAATATTTTAGGTACTATCCAGTAAAAGTGCTTCACAGTTAGTATTAAAACAGAAAATTCCTTTTTCCTTCCAAACTTTAAGCACGTTTACTCATATGAAAGTAACAGTACTTTCTCTGATCCTGCAAAGGAGATAAATTTCCTCAACCAGATACAAGAAAAAGCTACTTGCCCAGTCTTGTGCATTGTTTTCTTCCCACTCAACTGGAATATAGCTCAAGCCTGCTTGCTGAATTGTCCCTTTAGATATGATTACCAGGAAAAATGTGCAAGAGGACCAAAGATGTAACCTTTATATACTTCTTGGATCTGTACAATATACCTTGAGTTTATACCTCGCAAATGATACTTTCAGGTGAAGCATTAGCCATTTTGAATTAAGTGAATCTTATATGAAAAAAATAAGGTAATACAATTTAATGCTAAGACATTAAAAATAGATTATTTGTTAAGATTATAGATGTGATCATGGATAAAATGTACCCAACAGAAGCAACAGCTCAAGGCACTCAACAGCTTCAAATTATAAGCTGAATGGCTAGCTAGTTTAAGCTACTAAGAAAATTAATGGGAACAATTAGATGAGTGTATTTTTTCCAGGTGTAACAATCAAAAAGCCAATTTAAGCAAATAAGAATTGACTTTAAGAAGTCATTTGTATTATAGCCTATGGTCCCCACCCCACCTCCCAAAAAAGCATACATTTTCAAAATGTCTTTCTACAGGTTGTAGGTGATTTTTATGAAAAAAGCAAGTAAATAAGCTCTCATCTATTATCTTTGACATGTATTTCATGTACCCAGACCATTATGTTAAGATGGTTGCTCTTGATAATAATGTTCCTGATGGACTAAAAGATGAAGGAATACTTTGAGTAACATCAAAGACTCAATGGGTATAGTATATTTTTGCATTTAAATGTATTCTTTGATTACTGGTATTCTGTAGAGCCCTACATAAAACAAATATTTACTTATCTATATCTACTCCGGTTAATTGCTACATTGACATAAGCTTATTAACAAAGAACCATTTTCAATTTTTTTCAATGCTCAATAGTTTTATAGAAGTTTACATGAAAGATGTGTTTGGATGTCACAATATCTTTTTTAGCGAGTCATTTTAAAATTAGAGATTTCACATAAAAATCTAGATTTTTTTTTTTTTGGTTTCTCTTAAGAACTCGTCCTGATCGCATTAAAATGTTTATATTTTTTTCCTTACAAGCTTTCTCTGCCAGTATATCCCATTTCTATATCATTCCCTTGTTTCCATAAGAAGCTGGAATCCTTAAGTACTCAGTCAACTAAGAACGGAGACAGGAGGGGCTGCAAAGAGCCCTCATCTCCATGACCAAGAGAAAGGATTAAAGGACTTCTAGGCTCTCTGCCAGGCCAGTGATTTCCCTGGACTAAGTAACAAATGACCTGAGGACAGAGCTATGCCCTGGTATCCATCACTCCCTTAGGAAATGTGTGACCAGACAGGTCCTTTTACCTAGAAAATCATCTGATTAGACAATTACCTAAAACTTCCCATTTCATTTAAAATAATCATGTGTGTGGGCATCTCAAGAAAATTAGAAAGTATTCCAAATTTCTGTAAGAAAAATTGTAAGAATTTCCTGACTTCAACTTGAGTCTTAGGTTTTAGATCAAAGCTGCATATTACTATTTTAAGGAAGTCACTTTCAATTAAAAATTGGGGGGGGGGTACAATTTTTTAAAATCATACATTAGATATGCTTTTCTAAAATTTCTAGACAACTTTATAATGAGCCATGTTACGGATAATTGATAACAATGCTAATTGGGTCTAATCAAACAGAAGATGCATGTCCTTCACTAGTCTTCAAATGCATTTTTTTTTTGACCAAGCGTCACAATTCACATTTCAGTTTGCAAGTAATTTCTATTTAAATATTTATTTCTGGAAAATAAAAACTTGACTTCAATTAAAAAACTGACTCAAATTGACTCGAAAAAGAAAATGTCATGATGCTTTCTTCAGCACTTCTTCTATGTGCCTAAAAATGCTGGGGTCTTCAATTGTAGGCGTTACCTGGGAAGAAAATTAGAAACATATGAATGCTCTTCCTTGAACCCCTTTCACTCTTCTTATAATTAAATAATTACATACAATGTGTATTCCTCATTATCTTATAATACTCATATGGAAATGCTCAAAAATAGTAAACTTTGAACTTAACATTTTAAAATGTGTCTATAGTCTTCCAGATAATGAAAATAAACTGTTCAATTAGCAAAACTGTTTGTCCTCGATGATACTCTCTAGAGAGTTCCTCTTATTGGACTTTCTATATGCCTCTATAAAAAGAAAAAATTTTTTTTTGCATTTGCTCATATAACGACTAAAAATATGCATATCTATGAAAATGCACACAAATTAAAAGAATATTTATGTTGGAATCAGCCTAAAAGTCCCCAAAATAATTTTCACTCAACACAATCAGCATATCTACATATTTACTAATTCGCTAATAGCCATAATGACTACAATGAAGGAAAATGTACCTTTAATTCAATTAGATTGAGTTTCCACAAGTTCATTTGACTTTAACTGACATATTTACTAATAGTAAAAATATTTCATACACCAATTCCTGTAATCTCAAAGAATATGGTTTTAATTATTCTGTGTTTCTCTCTCAACCCTCATTCTTACAGGGTAGCTATGAAATTTCCCCCTAACCTTGAAAAAAAAAAGTGCTATTATGTATTTTTAGGAATACAATTCATGCTTGAGAACCATTTTTTTAGAACTTTGTTGATGACAAAAAAATAGGGGAAAAAAATTCTAGAACCAGCATTAAACGTCCTTGATAACTTACCTTATAAGGCTTCCCATTGACAAGGGCAGACAGAGCTGATCGGGGAATTTTGCCAGATCTAGTTTTGGGTAATTGTTTGACAAATACAGCATTTTGAAAAGCAGCCACAGGGCCGATGCTCTGTCTAACATGTTTCAGAATTTCTTTCAAAACTTGTTCCTCAGTTGTATTTATACCTAGGGAGAAAGTTCAGATGGTAAGCACTGAATTAACCTAAGTCAGTCATTCAGGACCCAGATAGGGAGGACAAAAATCTCTCACCTTCTCTTAACACGCAGAGGGCTAAGGGGACATGACCTTTCAAAGGATCTTCCTTGCCAACCACGGCACAGTCGCCCACACTGCCATGGGAAAGGACTGACTGTAATAAAGAAAAGTATTCATTTAGTGTGTGTGTGTATGTGTGTGTATAAATTATTTCAATGGGGAGGGGGGAGTGTATGTAAGAGAATTCAAAAACCCATAGCTGCCTGTGTGAAAATTACTACAAATTTACAATTCACATCATTACTATGGGAATGCATGGTTAGGATCCCCACAGCAGTCACTCACTAAAGGCTGACAGTAATTAAGATAAATTGCTTAACTTACTTGGAATATAAGGAAATTGTTCCTTTATCTCAAATTGTTTATTAATGAAGTCAAGGAAAATATGCAGTGAATATCACATGTAAACAGATTGCAATGGGCCTCTGAAAACAAACGGCCTCATGGTGATTTTGCTTTAGTGATGGCTACCATGAGCACACCTACTAGAGGAACCCACGGCAGCCCCATGAATAGTGATTTTATTTTCGCATGTTACTAAGCAAAGAACAGAGCATTTCTTTTCTTGAATGACGACTACCTACCCAAAGAGATTTTCTAAGACTTGAAAGAAGAGACTGGACAAGGAATGAAGCCCTGACATAAAATAATCATCACTATCAAGCAACCATTTTCATATTGCTCACCCTAAGCTCTGAATGTCTTAACCCTTTTCCCGATTAGAAAAAAAAAAAAATGCAGTTCACATAGGAATTTTCTAAGATTTGACATTTTCAGCGATGAAACCACTAAAACAGAATGCTATAAATAGAATAATGTCATTTGTTTCCAAAGACTATCACTATACTACAGCCATATGAAAATAATAATAAAAGCAATATACTTCATAGCAAACTTTGGGGGTAAGGGTATGATTGTAATCTGTAAGTTATCTCCAGGCAAATGGAAAAAGGGTTAAAGAACAAAGCTATCTATCTGGAATCAGAAGAACCCACAGAGTAACCACATGAAATACAGAAGCTTAAGGTTTAAAACACCATTTCTGCTGGGACTTTTAAAAATGAATATTCAAAAGTCATTTTCTGAGAAAGTAATACATATTTCAGTGACTACAAATCCCTAATGGCAAGAGAAAACAGTGAGCAATATACCAACAGCTCATATGGTAGTTCTCATTCTTCTAGTCATTCATTCAACAAATATTTACTAAATATCTCCTTCATTCCAAGCACTAGACTTAATAGTGAGCAAAAACAGGCTGAGCACTGTCTCATGGTGCTTATAGTCTAGCAGGGGAGAGCAATATTAATAAGTAATCATAAATATTTAATTATTATGAATATCTAAATATAAAAATGCTAAGGGCTTTGGGGGAAATAATGCGTTTTTTTTATATGAGAGATATAGCAAAAGTAACTAACTTGGCAGAAAGATATAGATATCAGAGATGCCTTCCCTTAGGAAATAAGTTCAGATCTAAAGGATTAGTAGACACACCAATTCAGCAAGGAGGAGTGGGGCAGGACAGAAGCCCTGTGGAAGGACTGTGCATATACCATTCACACCTGAAAGAAACTGCTGTGGCTGGAAAGCAAGAGCAAGTTCGAGAATGGTACAAGAGGAAACGAAGCTGCAGAGTTAAAGACAGGCTGTGCTAATGACTTCCAACGTATTTTAGCAGCATTGGAAGTAATAAAGCATTTTCAGAAGTTGAAGAGGAGATGCAAGATCAGAACAGTTTTTTAAATAGATTTTATTTTTTTTTTAGAGTAGTTTTAGGTCCATAGCAAAATTGAGCAGAAAGTACAGAAAATCTCATAGTCTTCCTGCCCCCATATACCAATAAGCTTCCCCACTATCAAAATCCCTCACCAGAGTGGTATATTTGTTGCCACTGACATATCATTATCATCTTAGTCCTTAGTTTACATCAGAGTTCACACCTAATGTTGTACATTCTGTGTGTTTTATGACATATCCACCATGATAATATTTTACAGAATGGTTTCACTGCCCTAAAAATTCCCCTGTGCTCTGCCTATTTATCTTTCACTTCCTGCTAACACCTAGCGAACAATGATCTTTTTACTGTCTCCAAAGTCCTTTTACAAAATGTCATATAGTTGAAATCGTACAGCATACAGCTTTTCCAGACTGGCTTCTTTCCCTTTAGGGTGGATTTTGAAAAACACAAGTTTGTTTCCTCGTGCAGAATAAATAGAAGATTGCTGAGAGTGAGAATCACAGTTTGTGCAGTGAAACTATTCAAGAGGCTATTAGATTAGACTAAGGATATGGTAGTAGGTATGAAGATTCTAGAGTTTCTTAGAGATAAAATGGACAAAATTTAACGGTAAATTAAATATGAGCAAGAAGAAGGCAGAGGGGTTAAGGATGATTCTGTGTTTTTGGTTTGAGCAGCTGGTTGACTAGTGATGTCATTTTCTAAGCAAGAAAATGCCAGTGAGGGCTAGGCTTGAGAGGAAAGATCATGTAATAAGTCTTGGAGATGTTTCATTGACATGCCTTTGAGATATCCAAATCAAGGCAGTTGGATCTGAGGAGAGTCTTAATCTAGAAATGCATATTTCAATGCCATTGATGTATAGATGTTAATGAAAGCTATGGACATGGATAAGATTATTTAGGGTGAAAGTATTGAGAAGAAAGGGATGAGAGTCTTAAGGATCATCAACAGCTAATGGCTTCAGGAAAAAGAAGCTGGGAAACTAAACTAACAAGGCACAGCCAGACAGGTAGGAGAAAAATCAACAGAATCTAGGATATGCCACTTTCAAGTCCCAAACTTTCTGTGAATATTTTTTTATTTGATTAAGCTGAGTTGAAAATGAGTTTTCTCTGAACTCCTAGAAGACTCAATGAACTGCTAGAATGTTTGGTATGAACCCAGGGTACTTCCTCACACGACCCCAGTTAAACATACAAATCAACATTTCTCATAAATCCTATTGTTAGCATCATCTTTGAAGCACTGAGTTGTTCTCATCCACATAGTTTTAGACTTCTATGGTGCTGAGGATACATAGTAGGTGTTATATGAATGATTTTTGTACCATATGTTTTATTAACTTCATTCCAGAGATAAAGATGTCTACTCCTTCTTTCCATTAGTTGAGCCTGACTTAAAAGCTTTTGCAAAACATGGACCATATAATACCATGTCCTCCCACTGCTTCACGTTGAACTCTCAAAATACTTCCAACAGCTTTCCTATTTGTTCAGATCTTATTTACTTTTTAGGTCCCTGTGTTAAAAGTAAAAACAAATTTTCTTGCTAGAGATTTGTTTTGGTAGTTAGTGCAGTCACCAGTTCATAGAAGAGAATATTTTGTCTTTAACAGGTAGGATATAGATGGAGTAAGCTCAATCCTGTAATTCTGATTTACTATTCTCATTTTAATGAGTAGAGAAAAAACCTTTTACCTGACTAAGCACAGTTTTAATTGTCAAAAAAAAACCCACTTATTGAAGTGTTCACTGGTGCCACAAGCCTCTATACCTGAGTTTTTTAAATGCCAAGGTAGCTGTTCAAATCACTATAAACATAAAAAAATCAGTCATCCAGATATTTTGTCACCTCACCAGCATGACTGTAATTTTAACTAAATTAAATGTCAAAAGTTCTAGCTTTCATCTTGTTATTTTAATTTCACCATGTTTATATTCTAGGTCTTAATGTTTTTAAAAGTGAATGGGAAAATGTTGACTGCTTATATATAAGGGCAGGGAGTATTTTGAAATCAGAAGTAATACATAACACAGTTCCTTATAATATCAAAGTTTCCTATTTTTGCCAACTGCAAGTAAATTCTCTAAAATCTGTGAGAAACAATCATTTCCCAGAATTCTGTGTCATCTGTACATGAAGTTCATTATTGTACTGTTTAAAATATTATATTAATCTATCAATGTTAAAGATATCATAAAGGAAGGGAGGCAGCTTTCTGTGTTGACCCCACAAACAATACTGGTATGCCAAATGATTTCAACTACTGAATTTTTAAAAAAGAAAGCATCAAAATATGCCTTGGCAACATTTAAGGGACAGAAGCCAAGCAAATGTCCTATGAGAGAAAACGATCAAAAGCCACATGCATACATTCCCTCCATATGAATTCCATAAAGGATCTGTGGTTAACAGGCATTTAAATACCTTTAAAATGTGATACAACTTAAATACTAGGTGTCTCACCAAAAGTGAGTCTATAAAGGTTATGGTAATAGGTCTGATAAATGCTTGTCATTCATTGTTACTGGTATACTGCCATTTTCGTGTAAATTTTAATGGATTTAAAAGGCTGAACTTTTACTGAGCTAAATTAAATAAGCTTCTCAGTTCTGTTTTTAAGTATTTCCATTTTAGAAAATTTAGTTTAAATCAAGCACCCTCATAAGGTGCAAAGAGACACTCTGCAGTGGGAGAGTGTCTCTGCAGTGGCAAGAAGAGGAATGCTTTTTTCATTTCCTCTGACATTGTAATCATCTAGAAAACTGTCAGAGTCCACATCTTCATCAATAGTCATATCAATACTAAGGAAAATATTCAGCAATTTTTACAACTATTTAAATCCAGTAATTAGTTTGCACTGGCTAGAATTGAAATTGCATGGCATCTTTGTTGAATATGTACTTTATGGAAATATATTCAAGAAATCATTCTTAAAGCAGTGAATAGAATAGTTAAGTTGGAAAACAAAAAATTACACATTGGTCAGAACAACGTTCAAAGCACAAATTATATGTGAACACTACCCTAGGCTTTATATGCAGTATTTTAACACCAGATTTTCTAGCTCCCAAGGATACTAGTAGGATTCTTTAACAAACTGAGACTTAAGCTACCAGTGAAACAATGAAGCAGGGAGCCCAATTTGTTCCCTGGAGATGTCTTAGCATAAAAAGGTCTGCCCACAACTGTGAAAGAGAACCAAGCATGATGGACCACACCGACTTCCAGTAATTTTTGCTCTCAAGACCTGAACTAACAGATTTCAGACCCAATTTCCTTAAGAACACCTTGAACTTTCACCAAAGGGTCCCAAATGTCTACCTAGATGCTAGGCTTTCAAAGAT